CGGAAGAGAGGAGAGGAGAACAAATATGGTTTTTCATATCGTTAAACCTTTCCTTCCCCCAAACTGAGCCAGCAGGAGGAACTGCACTCTCAGCCCTCATCCCTGTAAGACACATAGCTGCTACTTGCGCTAGTGAAAATAAGCATCAGCTGGCATGAAGAAATATGCTCTTCTGAGGGTGCCGGGGGTACCAGAGATCTGTGTGCTGCATCGGTGAAGTTAAACACTTCAGCTCAGACCAGTTTACCGCTGGGACAGAGAGTGGTAGGGAAGGGGCAAGAATCTCATCTGCCTTCTCATTTCTCTGCTAAGTATTTAGGATTGTGGCAATGCCACAAACCCACACTTAAAATCACTGTGTAGCTATTTATTACTTCAAAGGCTGCCAAAATTTTCCTGAAGAATGCAAGGCGTGGGGGAAGGAGAAGGAGATTTCTAACATTTTATTTGTAAGCCAAAGATGAATGGAATTTCATGAATAATGAAAAGGCATTTTTCAAGCCAACATTAGACAATAAAATGAGAACATTTACAAAATGAAGAAGAACCCCAACAACAGAGCCTTCTAAGCATACATACACATGCATACATAATAATATGTATTAGATACCTGTTAAATGTTTGCATATTCGTATAAATAGTGCTGAGTATAGTTACAGTTTTGAGCTCACGTTACAGTTCCAAGAGAAACTGAACAAAAACGCAGAGTGTCTTATTAATCCAATACACTTGCACAGTAGGTGCTGACAACAAACCCTGCATTTGCAAATGCCAAAGTAGCTTCAACACGCAGCCTCACTCTTTTCATCTGTTTGGCTGCCACCGTGCCACTTCTCAGTGATTTCCCACCTGTATCTCTCCTGCACAGACAGCAAGGGTGAGCTGACTTATAAACAGCTCACCACTACTGCAAAGAGGTGGAGGGCCCAGCATACACCCATTCAACTGCAGGGGATAAATTTTGTGAATCTGAAAGGGGAATTTAACATGTACGGAAGAAATGAGAAAAAAATAATGATTTCTACATAGTCTAAATCAGTGCAACTATCCAACTACTAAACTGATGGCTACTAGTTTACTAATTGCTATTTACAAAGACTACATCATATTTGTTCAATTTAATATTTTTTTTATTTACCAAGACTGACTGTACATGTACAATGTTATTAAAGAAAGTAATTCCCTTTATAATTTTAAAGTAGAAATTATAAAAGAAGATGTTTTAAAGTACAGCATATCTAGGAATAGACAAGCTCTATTGTCCTTGGTACTTTTACAAATCTGGCTCCCATACGAGCCAGATGTGTAAGCAGTATGCATCCAAGCGCCATGGAGTATTTCATATTTAGCCCTTTTAAACAACTGCAAGTATTTTTCCACAAATCTGGAATCTTCATTCCTTGTATCTGCATAGGGTTAAACCTGGGTCAAATTCCATGAACCTGTTTGAAACAAAACATTAACTAGGTTGAAATGTTTGCTGTGGAATCAATCAATGAAGTGTCTGGTGGAGAAAAATCTACAACTTCAAACTAAATCCTGGACTGTCTTAATTAGATTCTTACAAAGATGCACCCATCATGCCACAAAGGCCAGTTTTTGTTCACACTTACAACAGGAAAAAACACAATTTTCAAGAGAAAACCCAGTATTTTTCAGTTATAACCTGAAATTATCAAGATTTTTTCCATAATCTAAAACAACACTAACAATTAATTTATTTTGTCAGTTTTTTCTGCAAACGTTCAGTGCAAGAATCTAAATCTGCTAAGCTCAAGACATCCTCATTATATAAAGAAATGTGTAACTCATCAGGCAATTTCTACATACAAATATGAATTTAATACTTCTCTCTTTTCTTTATTACAATTTAAATTTATATTGACCATATTTAGTATTAGATCACCAGCGTGAGTATCCTGTTGATCCTGTGACACTCTAAAAACTTACTCTTACCGCCTTTAACTCACTTGACCAACCGTTTTGTCTAGGTTGTTTTAATTCATTAACAATCTTCTAAAATTTCTAGCTTCTAATCAGTCTTATCAGTCTCCATTTTCTTTCCCCTGGCTATTTTAACAAGCACAACAAGTCTTTTTGTTTCTAGCCAATTTAGTATACCATGCTTCTAGGCAAATGTCAGATCAATACAAAACCAAAAATCCATAAAAAAACAAAATACAAGCTAAGTACAGTTCATCTGTTTTTCTAAGATCTTGAGATCAAAATATACACTACATTATATGACAGTAATTCCTTACAGAACAGACATTATTTATTGTAAACAAGCTTTTTGTTAAAATGATGCCCTTCTTACTATAGATAAGTTACATACAGCCTGTTCAATCTGTTACCTTATCCAATTTGGTACAGTAATACGGCAATCTGAGCACGCTGCAGTTACTTTATTAATCACGCTGGATGGATCAAGAAACAACTTTCTGACATATGAGTTTGCACACCAGGGATAATTCACGGCATGGGCTTCTGTGCTCAGCTTTGCCACACCTGACCTGATCTATCACTGCAGCACCGCAACTCACAGCAGAAAGTTCACCTTCACAAGAAACCGAGACCTGCATCTCCCCTCTGTCTCTATGTGCCCTCCGGGCAGTGCAGCTCCGAAATGTATCGCCGTGGGCTACCTCCTACCTGCTCTGCTCTGAATGCTCAAAACAGATTTTTCTCATAGCAGGAGATAAAAAAAATCACATCTATGCTACAGAGTGGACGCATGGTACAGAAACAGAGTGCTGCCGATCTCATGCTAGTTCCAGATCTTGGAGCGGTACACTCGTGTTCGCACAGCGCTGCGCCTGAACTAACCGGGGCTGGGGAAATAAGCTTGGCTGCCGTACTGAATTAACACGGTGATATGGTTTTCTGTATTTGTATTTCTCCCCTTAGAGCCCTCAGAGAGTATCAGTACGCTGTACATTGTGACTATAATAGCTCAGATTAGCATTGTATCAGATAAGAAAAGAAGGATATTTGCGTCACAGCCTGCTGTACAATGCAGACATGCCTCCTGCAGCTTTAGGTTAAGCAGGTTTAGCGTGAGAGTTCAGTTAGGTGATGAGTGAGGGGGGGCAACCTGACCGACGTGAGATTGTAAAGTGCAGCCAGGTTTCTGGAAGTCAAAAAAAAGCTTTTATTATCAACAGACTTTTAAAAATGCTTTTGGTTGTCTGTTTTTCTGCAACAAGGGAGTTTCAAAATCATTTTTGTAAGAGAAACTCTAATAGCATGACTGTCTTCAGCATGCTTTTGTGATTTGACAAGGGAATGCCTTTCAGCTTAAAAAGTACCCTTTCCCTCATCAAATTCTGCTCAGCTTTTCCTGAGACATTATGCATTAAAATTGCCATTTCCATTCTCTCTTTTGTGTGCCTCAAGAAAATATTGGCCTTCTGCCAAAACAGTAATTAGCATGACTACCCTAAGGCCAGCTGGAGATGCCACAAAGGCAACAGCAAAGGGACCATGTGGGAAGCACCTGGGAGCGGCAGCATGGTAGGAACCAGAAGTGAGAGGGGCAGGGGACCTGCATGGCTCTCCCAACACCAGCTTACTCGGCACTTGGCCCCTCCTCCACTAAAGGACAGGTACATCCCTGTGCTGCCGTTTTCCCCAAATAATAAAGTGATAAGAGACTAAAAGGTAGGATGGTTTCCCAAGCCACCTTCAGCTTCTGCAATACAGATTCTGGTGATCAAGTCTCGCCTGAAAATACCAGATGGGGCACAATGTCCTCCCTTTCTCGCAGGTGAGGCAGAAGAAAAATGCCCTGTCTATCAGGACCCAGCTGACCATCCACATTAAGAAGCATAAAGACCGTGTCTGGTCTCAGCTTAGCCTAACTTGAGTGTCAGCAGTCTCTGCAGCGAGGCAGAGCACAAGCTAGATATAGCTTATGCCATTCTGGCAACTCGTAGTCTTCCAAAGCTTGATTCTGCAATTTAAATACTGTCCTGTTACCATGGAGAGTTTGGGGGCATCTGGAATGTCAACAAAGTGAAATTTGTGTAATATGACCAAATTACTACCCTAGAGACAGTGTCATCCAATTTATGCTTTATCCTACTGTTCATGGTCTTCCCAGTGCCATCCAGTTCTCTCAATCTGCTGCATCCAGCTATTCTCTCTCAAGTGCTAATTAGTTTGTTAGCTGTTCAGGAAGATATCATTTTAATGTTACACATTCATATACTACATAGCACAGTGAAACCTTGTTCACTGATTAGAGGCCTACTGGTACTACTAAAATAATTATGATACCACCCACATAAGAGGTAGCACACCAACAGAGCACTTAAAAGACCACCTGGAAGTGCTGAGGCATGCAAAAGTAATGGGGAAAATAACTAAACAAGTTCTTTCAAACCCCTAATAAAAAAATGTTTCTTTTGTGACTGGGTTGCATTCTTTAAAACACATAGTTTTGACCACGCTGCTTTATTCATCCTTCAGTTGAATATCTAGTATGACAAAAAAACTGACAGAGCAAATAATAAAATATTCACTACCATGAGCAATGTATTAATAGGCAGCCAAACCTTCAAACATGTTTCTCCGTCTGAGACTAACTCAGGAGTGTGTTTAAAACTAATTAGCAAGGTAACCTTTTTCCCCTTCCCTTAGGAAATCTACTGTGGCCGATCCAAAACATATCCAATCCAAAATTAAAATCTAGGCTTCTTGCCAGCCATTACAGGACTAATTCCACAAAAGCACAGAGAGCTCTAGCCATATTCCATGCAACTGAACATACGTTTACAGCTAAAGCACAAGGTGGTGTTTGTTGCATGGAAGCTTTCCCTTTATATGGGCCATTCTTAAGACCTTACAAGCAACAACTGTCATAAAACACAAAAAACTAAACACAGTAGCACAGGTTTACTCATTCATGAACTTTCCAGATAAAGCAGCATCAACTTACAATTACCCATACACAGACAAACAATAGGAACAGGCATTTTCACAGTATTTTGCCACAACACAGCCCAGGTTCAAAGCCTGCAGCACAAATTCGGTCGGTCACTGTGGCAGCACCTACACGGCAGGGCAGGTGCACTCCGTAACGTGGTGCAGCGTCGTGGTCTCCGGTTGTACCTCCTGGCTGCTTCCCAGTTGCCTGTCAGGACAGAGCTGATGTGTGCACCGCTCTCCCACACACCTGAGATTTCCCTGCAAAGAAAACCCGCAGGTGGGGGGAGACACACAGCCCGCCCGTCAAGCAGGTGGCAGAGACGCCTGCCCACCAGTGCAGAAGCCAGGCAAAACACGGGCCGGTAGACCTCCACGCAGAGAGAGGCTGGAGCTCCATGTCTGTGCTAGGACAAACTGTATTCCCATGACATGACCGGTGTCGGTGCAAGAGCAGGCAAATGAGGGAAGTGGGATGAATGCCTTCCTAATCTATGGGAAAAACCAAGAAACGTGGTGGCTTCCTGACCTTGGGCTGGCTGGAGAATAAAGACAAAGGCTAACATTAAGTTTACACTACTAGAGCGTCATGTGAGAGAAAAATGCAAAAAGGCTGTATTTCTACTTGGAAAGGCTGAGTTAATGGGGTTATGGCCTACAGCTCATGCACACTACTGTAACACAAAACACACTAGTATCATACAATCAAATCATCCAGTCTGTTGGCAGGATGCATCCCAGAATGTGCCTTTACGTGTTAAGCCTTTCACAGAAGAGATGTAATCTTCTCTTACTCTCATAATGCCATACTCCATTAAATACACAGTGTGTATGCCTCTGGAAATATTCCCAGTAATAGTAATCTCTATTTCATTTGCTTCTACAGGAAAAAGGGAAACACTTTTGAGATCAAAAAAATAACTACCTGCTCTTCAATTTCCTCAGGAAATCAAAAATACTGTTTTTACCAGTCTACCTTTTGTTCACAGCTGAATCTGACCTTCATCTCCATGGAATGAAACTTGGTTAGAAGCTTATCAAGGAACTGAATTCATAAATGTCTAGATTATGGCACAGAAATAAAGATGCACTGAGTAGGGCAGTCTGTAGCCCTCAGCAGCAATCAGTGATCTGCTAATACTGTTCTGACTTCAGTCTCTACATGTTCAACTTCTGCTAAACAGAAGAAATTAGCAAATATTCAGCCAATTCAATAACTTATTATTATTTTTAGATGAAACATGATATCTCTTGAGTGAAGGTCTTGTGCAGTACTCTCAGCACAGAACAATGACTTTAAAAGCATAACTGCTTGACTCAATTTAACCACAGGTCAGGCATTATTCCCTTTATAAGATTAAGGTAAAATGAAGACCACCCTGTGAATACAGGGCTGGTCCCACCTGCTGAGAATTCCTCTGTTCCTCAGCTCTGACTGCAGTAATCCTGCCTAGGCCATTTGAGGGGGGGCACTCCAGACAGCGCTGCCCCAAGCCACTGCCTGCTTTGGCTGAAACATCTCAGCCTGGTTTTGATTTTCTTGCCTATTTAGAACTTCAGTCTGCTGGTGGAAAAAGCTCTCGGATGTCTGGTAGGTCCCTATCAAGAAGGTTCAAGAGAGTATGGGCTCAAGGGCACAGAGATGGTTCAGGTGAAGTGAAAATGTCACTGCCAACACCCTGACACCTGGGGCTCTACCAGTCAACAGGCAGCTACCAGACTAACCATACGATACACTCTGTAACAGGTGTTCAGCAAGTGGTCCAAGTGAAGCAGCCTGTGACAGGCTCAGGGACTTGCTTCCCAGATACTGCAGGGCCGAGCAAAGCCAGACAGCAAGCACTGGCTTCAAGGCACAGTATTAAAAGGGAAAAAAATACTAATCCTACTTTCATATCATAATTTCATACTATTTATACTTTCCTTCAATCAGTTTTCAACAACATGTAGCTCTTGATTCTGTTCTTAAGATATTCATGGCTATTCCAAGACTTTAATGCAAACAAACACAAAGAAATCATTACTGGAAACCTGAGCTGGGAAATAGTGGAAGTTAGTGAAAGTATGACAATCTGATGCCCTACAGGCAAACAGAACAAACAGGGTAAATTTTACATATGGAAAGACCAATCTGTTGCGTCTTTTACTCACCGTTTGATGACTTCGGTCACAGTAGCGCAGTCCAAAGTAATCTATCTCCACTAGGTTTAAGTGACGAAATACGTAGCCCAGGACAACCGACCCTTTCGTTGACTTCTGTGGGAAAGAATTTAGAGAGCCTTTTCACAAAGATGCTCTGCCTTTGTCAGCTATGTGCAGTGGCATTCATGCATTCAGTTAGCTTTGTCTAAAAAAAAAAAAAAAGGAGGCAGTTCCCAATGCCTTTAACAAAAATTTCAGCTGCATAGAAAAAAATATTTTGTCCGCATACATGTTTAATCAATCATTCTGTAAATACTATTAGGTAGCTGGCAGGTCAATAGCTACAAAACACAAAACAAAACAAAAAACCACTCAAGGGTACTTGCATAAGCACGATGCTGGTGAACCTAGCATCTTTCTAGAAAATTTCTGTTCTCTGATCAAAATTCTAATCCCCATGACATCTTTTAATTTAATACTCTTCCTTCCAATATGGGCCTGTGACTTAAACTCCGACAACTAAGACCAGGAGGCAAAACTTTGCCCTTAAGATCGGAATTATACATCATTAGCTGCTCTGTTACTACTCTTTGTAAAGAAGGTTAAGTTTTATTTGTTTTCTTTTAAAATATTTTTATTAATAATTAATAATAT